CGAGTAGGATGAGAGTCCAGAGGTCACGGTGCAGGTCCTCGGGGCTGCGGTGCCGCCGGGAACGCCAAGATCGCCGACCCGGGAAGGTGAGGGCAGCAAGTTATCTTTGAAAAACAGGCGTTTACGACAATCCCAGATGCACCGTGACATGCTGGTCCCGTGTGGCCGAGTGTGAGGGCAGGCGTGTCTGTGTTGGCGTGAGCGGCCTCGCTCTCTGAGGGAGGCTCAATGGGGAGGCCAGGGCTCGCACCCGGCACAGCCACCGAGACACCACGCCAGGGCGCCCCCTCCTGGGCCCCCGTGTTCTGTGCGAGCTGGATTACATCCTTCCCAGCCCTGACTGGGCCCAGGGGGACGAATTCCCCCCCTCATCAGCCCCAGACGGCGACAGAGCCTCGGGGGGGACACGGACACCCCCACATGTGGCCAGAGCACCCCCTGTTTGTGGGCCCAGGGGGAAGGCTGTGTCCCCACGGGCATCGGCTCGATGGGCAATGTGGGCGCTGGTCTTTGAACGTTTCTCTCCTGTAAGGTCGGCATGGACCACGGGTAACATTTGGAAAAATAACCCGATTTACAAGAAAGAACAAGGCTCCGTCAGAAATGAGTGGGAGGAAGGGTCAGTGGGGGGAGGGGGCACATGTAATACTTTGAACAATAAAGTCTAAGCCCGGCCGCGTGGCTCCGTGGCTGAGCTTCGACCTGTGAACCAGGAGGTCAGGGTTCGATTCCCGGTCGGGGCACAGGCCCAGGTTGTGGGCTCGATCCCCAGTGTGGGGCGTGCAGGAGGCAGCCGGTCCATGATTCTCTCATCATTGATGTTTCTCTCTCTCTCCCTCTCCCTTCCTCTCTCTGAACTCAATAAAAATATAGTTTTTAAAAATTTTAAATCTAATAAAACAAAACCCCCAATAAAGCTTAAAAAAACAAGTGCTGGGGCCCTAACCGGTTTGGCTCAGTGGATAGAGGGGCATGTACGGTTGCGGGCACATCCCCAGTAGGGAGTGTGCAGGAGGCAGCTGATCGATGTTTCTAACTCTCTATCCCTCTCCCTTCCTCCTCGTAAAAAATCAATAAAATATATAAAAAACAAAGAAACAAACAAACAAAAAAAACACAAGTGCTGGGGTGGGGGGGTAGTGGCCAGGGAGAGATCAATGGGGGAAAAAGGAGACTAATCTAATACTTTAAACAATGAACAATTTTTTAAAAAATTAAAAAAATACAAAAGAAAAAAGAGAGATGAGCGGGAAAATGAGCCCTGACAGGTGGGAAACGCCTGCTTGTCTTCCCGTGACCAGCGTTGTGTGTGTGTGTGTGTGTGTATGTGGGGGGGGGGGGGGGGGGGGGGGGGGGCCGGG